TAATATAAACAGGTAATAAAGAGACAACCGTACATTTCAAACACTCGAAAATAGTAAACATACGTGACAAATATTTACTAACACCTAACATGTAATAGTATCCTCTTCCATATACATTTTTTTTTAACTTAACGAAAATACAAATCAAAGCTAGAAACTCTAGACGTATTTTGCAGCGTCTTTATAAAGCAACAACTTTCGACTTGAAAAACAATGTTTAATAATTAACTCGTTTATTAATGATTCTTGAACAATTATTTGTTCGATCTTTTGATAAGTTGCAAGACATCAGTTTTAACTCGGTTTTACTCGGTTAAGTTTTTATATTATTGTATTCAATGCATTATCTAGTGTTATTTTCCACAGCGGAAAAAGCAAAACTAATATTAGCTAAAAAAAAAACAACTTAAAAACCATGGAAATCAATAGTCGCTATGATATGGTTTTGCATCTACAATCAGGTGCTATGATTTATTTGTCACTGAAAAATCAAATGTTGCTTTAGACGAGATCAATAGAATTTTTTATTCTTAAAAATAAAACCCTATTTCCGGCCTTTTACCATTTTGTGGTATTTCTTGGAGTACCACCTAAATAAAATTTCTTGGAGTACCACCTAAATAAAATTTCTTGGAGTACCACCTAAATAAAATAATAATTAGCCTCATCTATTGTTTTTAAACAAGAATTTTTTGTAATGAAAATTAACTTTTAGTGATAATGATTTATTAATTTTTTGAGTAGATGATTTAAAGAAAATTCGGTTTAAAAAAAATATATATTTGAATTTTTTTTAATTTTTTAAAAAAATTAGTAAATTGTTTCAAGTTTCATCCACTTGTTAAAACGTTTTTAAATTTTTTAAAATGTCACTTTCTATTTCATCTTTTCACCTCCTGCTGATATTTGTTAAAAACTTGTCAACATTCAACTTTAAAATCAAAATTGCCAACATTTAGATGTCATCAGAGGCGATTTTACGGGTGTGTGTGTGTGTAGAGGAATAAGGTGATTTTCAAGTTATAGTCGGTTTTTTCATGAATTTATTTGGCTAGCCGGGTATTTGACACCATTCAGTCGGTTAAGTTTTCTTTTTGAGGATTCTCTCCACTCCCACCCCCGCTCTCCTCTTTTTATTCGTGGAATCGCCTCTGGATGTCATTGCGGTTAAATAGATAATTACTACAATTTATGTGTGTCAAATATTTACTAAAGTTTACGTGTGTAAATTTATATCCGAGTTTATGCGTTAAATTTTTTAAAATCAATTTTCTCCAAGAACAAAAAAAATTTCGCTTTTTATATAATAATTTTAAAACTCCATTTTTTTATTTAGCTTTTGCGATAACATTTTTAGGGGGGTTCTTAAAGTTCTTACAAATAATATATCTAGGAGGTTATTACCGCGGATTAGAATTAAATGTATCCTGCCACCTTCCATGGACTTAGTTCTTTTGATTCTTTTTTTTTTTATCGAAATTGCCATTCCTCACGGCTGCTAACCAACACTTAAACCTTCATATCATAGATTAGGTGTTTTTTCACTTAAAATGTGCCAGATGGTAAAGATTGATAATTGTACATTTTAATGTTTAATAAAAACATAAAATGCAAAACAAAAAAATCATTAACCAATATTCAGCGTTTTTTTTTTGCTTCATTTTAGGACCCACTTTTCTTATAAACAAAATCTTGTAGAAGAGGTGTAACTTTAAAAAGGTGGTATTGACAATCTTATCGAAGTAGTATTGACAAAATTTTAGAATTTTTAAATCTTATGCTATATTAAAGTATACAATCTTATTGGTGGTGACCAGAGTTATGGCTAGCCTACCCAGCAACCCTATTTGGGGGAATATAGGGACGTTTTTACAATTTTGAGGACTTTTTTTTAAATAATACCGAGTGGTAAAATTTTTGAAATTTTGGAGCCGTAATGACAGTTTTTTTTGGGGTGAGAGGGGTCTTCAATCCACTAGCCACAGCACCGATAGTGACAATCTTATGACATTGGAGCCACAGTTTTCATATGTTTCACACAGCAATTTCCCAGGCACGGTGTGAACTTCAAACATTTTTATTTTAATACTAGTGTCAAATAGGAATATGTTACAAATGAAAATATGCTATAAAACCACTAAAATGAAAGGATTGTAAACTTTACGCGGTCATTACTTCTGAACGCCAAAAGATTTTTTTTATAAAATTTGAATTCTGTTGATAAATTTAAATCTTATTTAAAAATTTTTGCAAAATTTTGTTTAAAATACTGTTCCCTTTCCAATGATTGTAACTTATTCTTAATCTCAAGCTCCAATTACTTTTTGTAACACATTCTCATTTGAGAATAGTTTTTAAATGGAAATGTTTGGAGTTCAGACCATGACTGAAAGCTATATTAAACATGTGAAAACTGTGGCTCCGACTCTGATATAAAAATAATATAAACATCTAAGCTTGATCCGATGGCTGCGACCTAATGTTGAGTATAAAGACTACTAAAACTATTGTATAAAATCAATTTAATATAAAAAACCTAGTTTGTTCCATTTTTTAGTTATATATTTTTTATTTTTATAGTATTTTGTTTGATAGGATACACTCCATTATATTCGTTCCATCATAGTAAAATTGCTTAAATTTATTAATTGGTGACAAAAATCAATAATTTTCTTTATTACACGGTGTAGTTAAGGCGATTTACAAAATATTCGAATACTTTTATTTGGAATTAGCATGATTTTGTCAGCATATTATGTCCAAACAAGATCTTTAAATGCTATAATTTTTTTTTTTGCTCTTTTTTATATATAATTTTCAAAACCTTTTTACTACCCGTAATATCTCAAGAGCAATAATTTGGAGTCTTTAGATCAATTCCGCTCATCGGCATTAATATGAATTTAGTTAAAATCTTTTGAAAAAGTTCCTTAATTTAATACTGATCATAGTTCTAATCGATTCTGACGTATATTTACTATATATAGTTGTCAAAACACAATATTTCTATCAATTTTCACAAAAAATACTGGAATTCCGATCAAGAAAGAGCTTATAATTATGGAAAATTGCCGATAAACGATCAGAACAGATCATATTGTTAAACTATAATGTTCATTTCACCTAAAAAACTTGATAATATAAAATCTTATTTAAATTTGGACGAGCAACTGTGATTTTAAGATGATTTAAAAAAAAACAAAAGAATCATCAGTCTGGATTTTTTCGCTACCAAACATTTATATTTTATGATACCGCAAAATTCATCATTTTAAGTTTTTTCGTCTTTTCGTAATTCACAGACCAAAAAATGTCGCAGTCAACAAAATATCATACAGACGCTCTATTATTTTAAAAGTGCCTTAACTACACCGAGTAGTTAATTTTTAATTTAGTAATTTTTCGACCTTCGAAATTAATCATATTTTTATGTTTATATTAACGCACGCAAAAATACGCATATGCGCTCTAAAGGAAATCTTGGTTTTATATAAAAAAAAAAGTTATATTTATATAAATATATAATATATTTTTGTATATCAAATATACAGTGTTTAATATTTATAATTAAATGAAATAATATTAATAGTTAATATATATTATTATAATAAAATTAATATTATTAATAATGTTTATAAGACGGAGGTCTGCGGTTCGATGCCGGTTCTGGCATGGAACATTGGAAGGGAAGGGGATGTGAACTTCCTGGTTAAATGCTGTTCCGCGGTGTTCTATGATAAGCCGTAAGGACTTTATAGAGCACCTTAAATAACTATATATATATATATATATATATATATATATATATATATATATATATATATATATATATATATATATATATATATATATATATATATATATATATATATATATATATATATATACATATATATATATGAATAACAATAATAAATTTCTATTAAATAACAATATTTTATTTTCATTAAGACAATAATTTATTTAATTTATATAAAACATATACGCACAAATTTCTATGAAATCTTTTACACTTAATAAATATTCGACGTTTAATTACGGTAAGCATATTATCACGTGAGATTATCTTGTTTAAAAAAATCAAGTGATCTTGTCACATGATCTTGCTCATAAAGGTGTTTTTAAAAAATCGTTTGCTCTTAAATACATCTGAATTAAACAAACTGAATTTTAAAGAAATAGTAATAAAAATCTCAATTCGACGTACTTAATAAATATTTAATCTTTTTAGATTCGCATTGTTGTAGAAAACAATTAACTTATAGGAAATAATTAATTTAAAACTTCACAAAATTACAGCATGTTAGAAATTAACCGCTCTGTGGGTTTTGTAAAAACGATAAGAATTAAGACTATGCAAAACAAATAACATAACATTAATTATCAAATGCAATTTCTTGACTTTTTTTTGCAAAAGAACTCAACGTATATATGAAAAAAATGATGTTAAAAAAAAAAAAACTAAAATCAAAGTTTGATGCTTTTTGATGTTAAATCTGATTTTATCTTTTGACCTTATGCAATTAGGTCAAAATAAAAATCTACGTCGTATAAATATTTCTCAAACGTAAAAGTGTTGCGAGTTAAACTAAATACGAGTAAAATTTATATGAAGATATAATTTTAAGATCTAAGTTATTGGTGCCCGTATACAAATATTGTTTTATTTTGTTTGTTTATATTTATATACGCCAAATGAATCACTTGCTAATTAAAAACCATTTTTAGGTTTTTACTCTTAATGTAAACATAACTTAAGAGCCAATAATTTTTTATATTACATTTAGTTTAAATTTTTTGATTAAAAATTGAAAATTTTAAAGTTAAGTTTAGATAAAAAGTTTGCATCGGGTCGCTTCTTCACAAAAACAACAACAACAACAACAACAAATTTAACCGGTTTAAAAAGTTATAATATTTTAGTGCTTGTAGCTTTACGTTTGTTAAAGTTAAGTATAAACAAATAGCGATAAAACTTCCCTTATAGTAAAGCAAAATGGTCAGTCTCAATTTTAATTCAAATAAAATTAGACCGTAATATGTCAGTTGTAATATATCAAAATAGCTCAGCTGGATGTCACCAATATACATTTCAATAATTAAAAAAAATTCTGATATAATAATAAATAAAGCTTCGTTGAACTTTTATTTGGTCCTAAATCAAAGTTAAATAAATAAATGTAACGCAAAACGAACGTGCGATCAAGTTTGTTAGAACTGTAACTTAATAGTACAAAAACACTTTTTATAAAAAGAGATTTTTTACAAGAACTTCGTTTAATTCTATTTCCTCCAATAACTTACATAATTTTGTAGCTTAAACTCAATTACAAACTCATCGACCGCAGTACTAGTCGTAATTGACGAAGCAAATAATCGCATAAGACACTTGTTCCAATCAAAAAAGAAAAAGAAAATCGGTATTAGTCTGAATTAAATATATTAATATATATAAAACAAACAATAACATAAAATCGATTAGTGAGCAAATATAATGTAATTTGAGAACCAAAAAAAGAAACATTATCCCAGTGTTAAAACTTAATAAATGTTGAACTTTCATTACCCCCTCCCCCTCATGCTGCGTTCAAGCCATTAGTTGAATTTAAGAACATAACCAAAGTCACCTATAAATAAATCCAAAGATACAAAAGTGATTGAAAAACAAACGTAAAGTTTTTTGTTACTCGGAAACGCGTAACTCACCTGCTGTATTTGAGCACCTTCAGTGAATGTTTGAGCTGCGCAAATAACTTTGTTTTCTTTGCATAAATACGTTTAATTTCACTTTCTTTTAACCTTCTCATAGACCATTTAGAATACATATAGTATAATGGTATATATTTCAATGTATATAAGTTTATATAAAATTAATTTTTATTTCTCCTACTGAGAAATAATAATTGAGAAATAATAATTGCATTTATCAAATACCGAATTTTTTTGATGAATAAACATTTAGAGTAACAGAACTTTTTTCAACGTGGTAATGTCGAAAGCTGATTGGTTAAAAATAAAAATAAACTTTTAAAAACGTGATTTTTAACTTTACTTTATTAACAGTATTTGATTGGTTAAAAATAAAATTTATTTATGTAGTATACTTATGTATTGATCCAAATTTGGTTAGTCAAAAAAGAAACAACTACAATATAATATTTTCTCCGCGAACCGCGTGCCGACAGCAGAGAATATTGAATAACGGCTTGATAATAGATATTGAAGAAGGCTGTTTTTATGGTTTACTGGAGAATATTCTTTATTTTACAAAGTTCGTGATTAGAACCTAAATTTAAAATTTTATCGTATTGCTTTTTGTTTATTTGAAAAATAAAACGTATTTAGAAGTTTTCAATGAAAGAACTGTGGAAGGTGGCAAGAGAGTTAATGTAAAGTTCTAATTTAGATTTTTGTGTACAAGGTTTTTTAAGGCGCTAGTTTTCTGAGATCAGCTATTTAATGTTTTTACTCGGACTTTTTAGTAATTATTTGAGAAGAATTAGATGTATCATTGTACCAACGGCTCTATTAACAGCATAAATATGTACCCTGGGAGGCATACCGTAAGTACATAGAATTCGTGTACTTTAAATGGATTTTAATAGAATCTCGAAATTTTATTTACTGTATTTATCGACGATACAAACAATACGATATTTTTATTTTAAAGTTTTAATTTTAAACCAGTATACCTATATTTGTATCAGTTTTGTCAAAACTCAAAGTATTAATTAAAGCTTACATATCAGTTTTTCCATATATATATTTTAAATGCTTGCTTTTAGCCTAGAATTTACTAAAGTTGACCTATGTATATACGCCATTAAGACATTTTATATTTAAGAGAACATGGAATCTAAGTTCTAAGCTAAGCTCAAAATCTTTTATTATTATTTTATAATATAAATAATGTTATATATTCTGTTTAGGATGACAATAATTTGGTAGTTTCCTAATAAGCAAATATATGATAGCTGTATATTGTTGCTGTTTATATTATTTATTCACATTAACTTGTAAGAGTACATGCTAATAAGTGAAATTCATTTAGCAAGTAAATGCAAAGATAAATAAAAATATGAAAAAATTTGTATCAAATTGCAGTTATATATTTTCTTTTTGCACAAATACAATATCTGATTAAATTGTACAAAAGTTAATATCTGATATTATTGATTGGCTATCATTAGCAGTTAATTGTTCCATACCATAGCAAGCATAAAAATGCTACATACTGATAATAATTAGCTTATTTTTTTTTAAGAAAGTTAATGAATGCTTTTATTATCTATATTTATTAAGCTTATTTGCACACACACACACACACACACACACACACACACACACACACACACACACACACACACACACACACACACACACACACATACACACACACACACACACACGCACTCACACACTCGCTCACACTCACACACACTCACACACACTCACTCACACTCACTCACATTCACTCACTCACACTCTACATATAAAAGTGTATATATATCTATATTATACATATATATATATATATATATATATATATATATATATATATATATATATATATATATATATATATATATATTATACATACATATATATGTATTATACATACATATATATGTATTATACATATTATATATATATATATATATATATATATATATATATATATATATATTATACATACATATATATGTATTATACATACATATATATGTATTATACATATATATATATATATTATACATATATATACATATATATATATATATATATATATATATATATATATATATATATATATATATATATATATATATATATATATATATATATATATATATATATATATATATATATATATATATATATATAGTTACAAGGTTGTACTTAGAAATCAATAAGTTTTATCATGAGAGCAAATATATATATATATATATATATATATATATATATATATATATATATATATATATATATATATATATATATATATATATATATATATATATATATATATATATATATATATATATATAGTTACAAGGTTGTACTTAGAAATCAATAAGTTTTATCATAAGAGCAAAAAAATAATAAAAACGTATTATAATCAAAAGTAAATAAAATCATGAAAGTTCCAACACTGTTTGTTTTGTTAACTTCAATGATTGATCTTTTTTGTTGTTTTATTAGAGTTAAAAAACTTGTAAAAAATTTAAAATGAAAAGTGTTTTCTATGTATTGTTTGCTGTTCTCATTAACTAATGCTTCCAAATTTTTCAATTAAAATTTTTTGTTTAGTTTGAAGTAAACCAGCCCTGCGGTTTTTTATTTTAAATGAAATGTTTTGAATTGATTGGAATAAAATTTGCTTCTTTTAAGGGAGAATGTGAGCTCATTATTTTATTGTGTTATATCTGGTAGATTTGTAAAGAAAGTTTAAATCAATTATTTAAGGTATATTTCAATGTGACCAGACTGTTAGCGTGAAAAATATAAAATAAACACAATGTTTAACCAAGGTTGTCTGAAGGATTCGTTATTTTGTCAATAATATTGGCTGCAATCTGTTTTTTTTTTTTTTCTTTTTTGTTGTTGTTGTTAAAAAGTACTTTTGTCATCATTGTTTTTTCTTTCAGACATCGAGCCAGCAAAGCAGTCAACCATTTTCTAAATTTTCAGTATCAGAAGCATGTGACAGGATCAAGGAAGAGTTTGGATTTTTGCAAGCCCAATACCATAGGTAAAAATAATTTAGAGATATATTTTGAGCGTTTTATTATTATTTTTTAATAAACTTAAGCAATGTTTCAATGAAATAAAAAAATTCAAATTCTCACGAATAATTTCTTAAAAATTGTTTTAAAACGTGTTTTTTGAAATTTACAATGTGCTCGTTTTTTATTTATCATAAAAGAAATTATACTGAAATAAAAGTAGTCGCTTGGCCGTTGTTTGTTTCATTGTTATTAAGTAAAATTTTCGGGGTTTTTTTTATGAATAGTTACTAAATAATTTAAACTACTGATATGTTATCTTATTTTGTATCAATGCAATTGTATAAATTCAAATTAAAGTTAAACGACATTATATCAGCTTTTAAAACCTTGCAAATGCGCGTCTTCATTTTTTTCTCTCAAAAAGAATGCGATTAATGTCATTGTCATTGGCAGACGTCTGCCAACTTGTTTACTGAAGACTTCGGAAAATTTTCATACCGCTTTAATAAACCACAGATATTTACTTTTTTTACTCGCAATATAAATTAACAAAAAAAAAATTAAAAAAGTTTAAAAATAATGTTCGGTAATTAATTTTTATTTTATTAATGATATTGTGTAGAAAATTTGCGCATTTTTAAATTAATTTTTTATTGGTTATAATTCAAAAGATTTAATACTTGTGTTTGTATGTAATTTGTTAAACTCACTTCAAGACATAAAAATTTGCATGTGGCGCTACTTTTATATATGACGTAACAATAAACTTTTTCTAAACTACTCATTAATAAAAAATCATTATTGATCAAAATAAATAAATTTTTCTTAATTATAGAGGTGAATAGGACTATATATTTTTAGCTTAATGCGTTTATATTAAATTGCTTTATATAACACCAATTATAGTTTCAACTATATTAGAGTGACCTTGGCGTCATTAGTGATCATATCTTTATTATTATTTTTTTCAAGTCAGGTTTTGGAATAAGAACATACCAGATATTTTTTCCAAAACCAATTCCAAACCAGATTTTTTTATTTTTTTAATGAAATTTACTTTTTTAGATAAAAAAACAAAAACAAAAACTAGTTTTAAGTTTTATATTTTTATAATTATATTAGTATTGTAAATTTTATAAACCTAATCAAAAATAGCTTTTAGTTTATGTTTTTATTATTTTTATTTTTTGTATAGGTTCTCAGCTCTAGTTCTAATTCATCTTAATTCAACTCAAATCTATCTAAGAAATCTAGAAAATAAATCTAAGGCT